CACTCCAGCAACCACATAATGTTCTAGCTTTAGGATCGGCATTTAAGCAATAGCATTGGCTTCCCCGAGGTGTTTGATTCTTAAACAAGCAGTTTTGCTACAGTAGCATTTTCAAGATACTGTAGCCAACATACACTTACCATGATAAGTGAAGCCAAAAAATTTACGCAAAAATGCAAAAAAAAAAAAAAAACATAGAGTTAACGGAAGACAGAATAAGTCGAAATGGCTTGAATTTTACCGGATACGTGTTGGAAATCAATCTAAAAATGCTAAATGGATAGAATGGAATAGGAAGATTCGTGAGTTAAATATTTCATGTGGAATAAGCTAATGGGAATGGGGGGAGGGGGGAATTGGGAGATGCTAAATTGTGCCGAAAAAAAGAACAAGCAAATTGTTTAGAGTCGAAAGAAGCGAAGCAAAATACCGTAATAACATAGCTGGGCTCTTTTCTAATACCACTTATTATTGATTCGGGGATTTTTCGGGAGTAATAATATGGCGACTTGCGTGCGCCTAGTTCTCGCTGATGCAACAATTCTGGTAGGGATATCGAGGGATGCGGTTTGAACGAGGTATTTGCACGAGTCGCCATAAGACGACTCTTTTTACGTTCGGCTTGTCGAAAATCACTTGCTCGAAATCCTGCGAATGCCTGAAACAAAACTCGTTGCTTTCCAATCCCCAGAACAGGGACAAATCGAAAGGAGTAGCTTTCTCGAGTAGCTAGAAATAGTTCTGGATCCTGGGGATGGGGAGGAGTGCTTTTATACCCCAAGGGTCAGAGATCGCTGAGATTATAAAACTTTAATGGGACACGGTGTCCAAAGGTTGAATCGGGAACCGAGATATTGCGTCATAGTGACGCAATTGTTCCTTACGCCATTTCTAATAAAAAATCATAAAAAATTATTTGATATACTATGTGACAAAAGACTGCAACGACATCGGAACTTCCACCCTTGCAACGACATCGTTCTCTGTCCTATCATTCTGCCCATTTCTTACAAACCCGGAAAAATAAAGAAATTAAAACTAGATGGTTTTATAACTTAAACTTAAGATCGAGAGGCGGTTAGATCCGCATGTAGGGCTAACGTACGGTTATGCAACACGGACAAAAACAACCGGAAAAATTGCCAGCTGCATGGCTAGAAAAAGGCGGCGAATGAACAACTACTCGAGGTATTCCAGACATTTGCTACAACTTTTCCTAGTACTAAAAGCAATAACTAAAAATCTCAACGATAAGAAATTTGAGGAAAAGTTTACCGGACCACTAATTTCTGGCTGCACTCGAAAGTATCGTCCAGTTTGGGGATCATACGCGTATCCGGGAATATCGCTTTCTTCAGTCATCGATTCCTGATTGATAGGTCCCTGTTCCACAGGAGCTGTGCTTTGTTCTGCATTGCACACGTCAGCACTAAATTAGTAATGACCATAAATTGATAAGCTTTCGATAATAACGGATATGGTTGTCGCTATAATCAAGCCAGCGCATCATCATCACAGTGCTCCATTCTGGAGCTTTTGGAACTAGCCCTTCGATTTACCACATCCCAGAAACAATTTGTATCAATCAGCATCTCGCTAATAATTTCATTTGCGCTTTTCTGAAACGACTATTGCCTGTCGCGAACGAAGCCCTTTCTCAAAAATTGCTCTGGGCCAGGAAGGAATCGAACTATTCCCCCTCACGTGCGGGCGTAATGTGTTACCACTACACCACCGGTCCTTATGC